TCACAATGTTGAAAGCCACACTCTTTGTCAAAGTGCACCTGATGACGGCTAGGGCTTTTCTATCCAAGTCAGCCCATTCTTCATCCTTCATCTTCTCGGGTTTCTGACCTGTCAAACATGGAAGAAGATCTTTCTGACATAGCAAGTCCTCGACTTGCATCTTCCACCATCCAAAATCTTGCCCATCAAACTTCTCTATCCTGATCTTTCCGTCCTCAGACACCATGTCTTCTGAGTATCCAAAAATCTGACCAGAGAACACGTGAGACCAGATTGAAACAAACAACCAGAACTAACCTCGAAAATTGCAGCAGCAAACTGAACAGTAAGGTTGTTCGGACTGCCCACAGATGACTATCTCGGTGGTCTTCTGATGTGTCGGCAGAAACCCTAGAGTCGCTAGGGTTGGCAGTGGAGGCAGATCTGTGTGTATGACCTAGGCTCTGATACCAGTTGTTAAGAACAAAAGCGCACACACACGAATAGAAAGCAAGAAAGCAATAGAGAACACGAGATTTAACGTGGTTCGGTCTAATCTGACCTACATCCACAGGGGCAACTAGGGTTTGTATTATTGAGTGATAATGATTACAAGTACAGGAGATCATATATATAGACAACTAATTAGGGTTTAACCCTTGCTGGACAAGTTATAGCAAACTGGGCTTAAAACCATTTGGGCCGGCCGAAACCCTAATCTGGTCTCCTAATTCTCAGTTGTCTATAAGTGGGCCACTTTGGGCCGATGACTACACATCACCAACATATTGTATGGTGGTGCTATTTGGTCTTCAACAAGGATAACTTATGTGACCAAGTTGTGGCAGTTAGTGTAAACTTATCTGCTGACCACAAGATGCTATTTGTAGGTGATGGACATGGAACATGAAGTCCAAGCACTACGAACACTTCTAAAAGAAAAAGCAGTGGTTTCGTTTAAACTCCAAAATGAGGTCCTCTTCATTCCTTGTTTCTCACCATGTAGATGCATTACATTATTATGAAGTTAGTAGATATCACTATTTCAAATTTGAACCATTTAAAATATTACAAGGAATATCTGATATGATAGATGTAGTGATGTGTACTGAATATAGAATAGGGATTTATTCTATATTCTATGCTCATTTTTTAAGAAGTCATTACTTTTAAAATATCGGTGGCATATTTTTTACGTACCTTGAATTTGACTTGATTATATGAAAAGAATTTTCATCAGCTTCTTTTATTTAGTTCGGACCCACTCTGTAAGACCTAAAGTGGTGCGAAAATATGGCCTAATGTAACCTCCTAATGGTATGTAGATGTGCATGTGAACATGCATATCCATGAACTAATTTTGAAGATGTGCACAATAACTTCCATAATTTGTCAGAGTGGGTTTTCTATTTCTAAAAGGACGGCATTTCTAAATGTTTGCAGATAGCAATGAACAAGAGAAAAGAGAAAAACAAGTCTCAATTGTATCAAATAATTGGTGCAGAAAGTGTTGGCTCAATTTTACGTATCCAGTCATGCGCAGATGAGGCAGTTGATATTTCAAAATGTTCGATTCAGTGGTATCGGTTATCTTCTGAATGCAGCCGAAGGGAACCTATCTCAGGTATCTCGTTTATCTTGATACATGCATGGTATTGCCCAAGGAACCTTCATTTTAGTTTATGAGTTGGACAAATTTCAAAGGGCAGAGTTTAATTTTCTTTAAATGCTGCACAACTTTCCTGTGATTCAAATATCCAGGTGCGGACAAATCTGTTTATGCCCCTGAACCCATCGATGTTGGGCGAGTTCTAGAAGTTGATATTGTCTCGAATTGCCTAAAGGCCTCATTGACGACTGTTGGCCAAATAGACCAAGGTTGGTGATAAACAAATTTATGCATTTTCATTATTTTCTAATTTGCTTTGTTTCGTTTTGATGTCATCATGATGCTATTGAAATTAGTAATTGACCTTTAATAATTTATGGGAAAATGACACTTTTACTCCCGGAGTTAACCCTTGGCAGTTGGCACTCTTTCAGTTCTTGAATGACTGGCCTTTACATTTTCAGGCCCCATGTTTTCCCTGAAGGGGCTGAAAATGGAGGAGTCAAGTGTCTCATGTCTGGGAATTAAAAGTGTGATGATGGTGTTACTCGGGGACTAAAAGTATAAATTTCCCTTTCGTTTATTTCACAGCACCAGGGCTGTGGAATTATTTGGAGACACTACTTCGGAAATCAAACACGGAATTCAGCGTAAGTGCTTCTTATTATCATTCTAACTTCATCAAAGACAGTACCTTTGCCACATTGGTACTCACTTTTAAGCATAGCTCCTTGTACTTGGGCCTAAAAGAGTCACTTCTGATAACGTTCTAGCTTCAGGTTTTTAATGGCATAAAAACAAAATGGCGCATAAAACTTTTTTACCTTCTTATTTCCTATGAATAGCCTCTCTGTTTTTTACATGGGTAAGGTTGTGTACATATTGACTTTCCAGATCCCAATAGAGTTGGGATTACACTGGGGCTATTAATGATTTCTTGTTGTTGATATTAAATTTTGAAGATTTAAAGCAGTTGGAGTTTGTTTCCCAGGTGGTTATTGCCCAGATGAACGGAAGGAACTATTCGTCGCGTTCAGTTCATTCGTTGCATGTTGGGAAAATGAGGATGAAGCTTTCAAAAGGATGGATTACAAAAGCTCGAGATTCTTATTCTGGGTCCATGCAGGTACCAACCAAAACACTGCTATTTTAATCTTGAAAACCCAATTATCTATTTTGCTCAGGTGCCATTACCAATGGAGCTGAAAGAGTCATTTTTGACAATGTCTTAGCTTAGAGTTATTTGTTTATTTATTTTACTTGTTTCTTCTTAATCTCAGCTATGCGGGTTCAGAGGGGGAGGAAACTCTGCGGCAAAGTCATTGTTCTGGCAACCTAGGAAAGCGCAGTCCTTTGTGTTGGTTTTTGACACGGAGCGAGAAAGAAATGGAGCTCTTGTTCTGGCCAGAAAACATGCTCTTGATTGCAATGTGAGTATAGGCACAAAGTATATTTCATCACTCTTTTCCATAGCCCTTCTTTGCACCAAGGCTGTAAAAAACATTGTAATGACAGGTGAATCTTGCCGGGCCGGATGACGATGTTTTGCTGTGAATCTAACAGCTCTTTCATTTCCAATTTTTTTTTTGTTTTTTTAAGTTTTTTTTTAATTTGTTTGTGTGTGGGTGTGGGATAGAAAGGGTTGTTTGTTTACTAATGAGTTGGTTAGTTACAGCCATGAGGCATTTGTTTTTATTGTTTGCCCAATCAAAGGGGTTGTAACCAATTTCACTAGCAACCAAATAGTATTCATTTGTTTTTTTCAAGTTTAATTTTTTTTGTTTATGACTTGCGTTTGTTAACACTTTAGTATGTGTGAGATTGATAATTTTTATTGGCAAAATGGCAACACTGAATACATACCAACGGGGATAATGATACACCAATTTACTACATTTCGAATCTTACGCCATTCTTATCTTTCATTTGGATTAGCCACCCAAAATTAATGAAAAGTTGTTAACACCTATATCATCTACATAAAATATCACAATAATCTAACTTTGTTTATGCTGGGATGCAAACATTAGTCCCAGCCGGGAAGAAATGGAGAACCACAATAACTTTATATGTAACTATGAGGTCTTTTGGGAGATGTTTAAAAATAAATCTGTGAAGGTTTGATCCAAAGCGGCCAATGTAATACTAATGCGGGGTTGGATGAGAGTACGTGTGGTCCTAATAATTTTTAAAACTCATCTCATGCCCCTAGAGGTAGCTCAATTGATTTTGGAAAGCGTAGGTTTGTAACAAGGTGCAAGGTCGAGTTCCTGCAGTGTGTAGTGTGGGAATGATGTTCTGATACCAGTTTGGACTATGAGAATGAGCTCCTTACATGTATGTGGGGCGAGCCTTCTTTCTAATGGGTCATTTGGTACTGATTTATCTCTCTTTACACATTCATCTAGACGAGTGTGAGGGGCCATTGGCGTTGGGAATTCAACCTTTTTGCAGTAAAAAACTCCTCGCACACTACACAGGAGACAGAATAACATTTTACACCCTCAAAAGGTAGCAAATAATTAAAATACAGTCACAAATAAAAATGTTAAAATGCACCCTTAGAAGTTAAATATTATTTTATTTACATCCTCCTAGAATTTTTCAACTTAAAAAAATCAAAAAGAAGAATTTATTTTTTAGTACAATCATGCTTACCATTTTTTGTTTTATTCAACTTCCTTTTTTTGGAGATTTATTAATTTTTTTAAAGAAAAAAATTATAGTTTACTTTGAATGATTTGTAAAATTCAGATTTGACCAACATTATAAGTTTCAAAATCTTAAATTTGGATGTAAATTTTGTCCAAATTTCTTTCATTCACAACAAAGCTTAATTACGAATATCTTTACCCTCTTTGTAACATAGTATTCAAAATTTAAATCCAAAAATTTAAATAAATTTCAAAGCTAAAAAATGGAGGGTGCAAATAAAAGTATATAAAACTTCATGCATTATGACATATGTGCATTTTGACCATTTATTACCTTTTGAGGATGCAAAATGCATTTTTCCCCACTACACTACTACACGGTACTAATTGTTGCCCTCCTTAGAGCACTGGGTATGGTCGTAACGCCCGGGGGCGTGAGGGGGCGTTTAACGCCCTGGAGGCGTTAAACACCGCCCCCCGGTGGCGTTACAAGGGCATCATCGCCTGCCTGTC